GAACTCTTCTTCGCAAAAATTTTGAAGTCATTTTGTCTATACGTACCATACATGAAGAGTATTTCCGGACTGCGCGACTACCACATCACTGGCAGGAACCCATTGGACGTAAGTACAGAAGTTTAGTAGAGTCGCTTGCCGGGTTCCATCCAAAAGTGTAAGTCGTGAACGTTTATCACGAAAAAGAAGTTTTGTAGCACTTTCGCTGAGCTAAACCACAAAATTTCAACTATCATATTAGTCTTTCATTTACAATTAGGCGAAATTTTTTGCTGATTTGTGCAATTGCACATTTTGCGAAAAATTTTGGCACGTCTTATGCCAAATACCAAGCGGTGACAAGTTTAAAGTGGTGTATCCACATTATCAAACTTGTAATTTTTTAGCGTTTAGCATATGACGACCGCAGCCTTGAAATGAGCATCTACCACTAACTTCAGCAACGTACAGCTCATTTTGAATGAACACTTCAGCTAAATGTAGGACATTCAAAATTCGTATATTTTTCACTTTATCCATCGGTTAGAGTAGACTCAAATATTTACGTTTCATGTATTTTTTGAGAAACGTTCCACGTCAAAGCCTGCAAATTGTGCAGCTGCACACATGCAAAAAAAGCAAATAGGGTGTAACTAGCTCAAAGCTTTTTTGATGTCTTCGATTACAGAAGAATATGTATAAATTACCTCAAGCCAGTCAATAACCGTTGTATGATTGATAACGACTTCCGTTTCATCGTTCAACAGATTCTCTGGAATAATGGAGTAAGCCTGTTTTGACATTATTGAAACTTACTTTTCCATTACGTCAACAAAATGATAGAAATTATTGACTAGCATCCGACTTCTTGATGCAACCTTAACGATTTTTCCCCTTGCGTGTGAATGAACTTCAATTCTACCAAAAATCGCTGTGTTCTGCAGTTTTTCGTGACCTTTAGCATGTCCAGAAAAAATAGGTGAGAAAAAAAAGTAAAATCCGCGCGATTTCTTTGCACCACTCACCAAAAAAGCAAAAAAGATGTAAACTCACTAATTGCCAATGAAGTCGGATCTGTGAGATAAGCTATCTTCTTCAATGGCTGTGATCCAGGTGGTCCTCTCGCGATGCTTACGCTGAAACATGCAAATTGCTCAATACCGTTTTTGCAACTTACTACGAATATGTTATCCATAAGTTGGTAACTGGTAACTCAACAGACATACGGTTGGTGTACTGTAGCAAAATAGGGCACTCAATTTTCAGAATGGGCTATGGTCACTGGTCTTTACTCCAGTCCGTACCGTATGTACAATAAGGTCAATTTTCATCTAACTAAGTCTTTAAACACTATGCTGTGAGCTTAGATACATGCTAGTGCGAACAATATGTTTTTTGCATCTCTTAACATGTATACAATGACGTACTTCACTTTAAATGAGAGTTTGAGACATATAAGAATACACATAT